ATACTCATTTTGTTAGTAGTGCCAGGAAGCAGGCAGTTTCCATGGTAACTGACAGACCGAGTTTACTGTGGAAATTTCCGGAATTAACAGAGCTGCATTGCAGAAGGCAGCATAAAGCAGTATTCATCTAGAGACCCCAGCAGTACGGACACAGAACAGTTGCAATGGTGTGCGGGGTATGTGTTATGTTTATGTTCTTGTCTAGAATGACTAATGGTTGTATGTATTTATATGTGCTAAGGAGAGTAAAACAGTTTGAGGCATTTTAGTATATACTGGTTTGGTAAAAGAAAGGGTACTCAGGGAAAAAGAAGGAAGGAATGATTTGGGAAGGAAGATATGTTTGAAAACATTGGGAGGGAATCAAGATAATTGAGGTCAAGGAAAGTGATAATGAAATAAGGGGAGAAAACACTTCAAGCAAATTTGGCAATAAAATATTCTTACAGATGGTGCTTCTAGGGATAACAATATATTTATTTATCAGAGTTATTGGCAAATTTGAGAAATCAGATTCTCATGTCCAGGAAGAAGAAATCTGTTAAGGCAGTTAGCTGTTACTTGTTGAAAGGTATGTGGATATGAGATACACTCAGGGTGTTAACTAAAGAGGTTTGCTACTTTTCTTGGCATACTTACCTGATCCATGAGAGAATTTGGGCAAGTTTATTACACCTTTAATCCTACTCTTACTGGTTTGTGGGGGATTTTTAAGAAAGTCTAAAATGTGTCGAGATTAAATTCTGGAATTCAAAATCTAGGACTTGGATGTTGTTTGGGATTTCATTAGGTAATTGGAATACTTATAGAGCATAGTTGTAAATTTGGAAGAGAAAAAGGATATAGAAAATAAGTTGATATTATTTAGATAATTTAAGTGATTTTGATGGCTGTATATTTAGATATCCTTTATATCAAGTAGTTAGCAAACTGTAGCTCATGGGTCAGATTTGGTCTGTTTGCTTGCTCTTATAAGTAAAGTTTTATTGCAACACAGCTACACCTATCTGGTTACATCATAGAAGCAGAATTACCTGCAAAGCCTAAAATGTTTACTCTCTCCTTTATAGAAAAATTTGTGATTCGTGATTTAGATGTGTTGGATTCCTTGGGCTACTGTAAGAAATCACCGGATTTGGTGGTTTAAAACCGTAGACATTTATTTTCCCACAATGCTGCAGGCCAGAAATCTGAACTCAAGATGTTGACAGTGCTGTGCTTCCCTGGAAGCTTCTAGAGGAGGATCCTTCTTTCCCTCTGCGTGCTTCTGGTAGTTCCTGGCATTGCTTGGCCTGTTTGTGGCAGCCTAGGTCAAATACTCTCTGTCTCTGCCTTTGTTTGCCTGTCTTCCCTGTATCTCTCTGTGTGTTTTCTTCCTTTCTGTCTCTTATAAGGAGAGCTGTCAATGTATGTAGAGCCCACGCTAATCCAAGATGATTTCTTGTTGAGATCTTTAATTGCATCTGTAAAGGTAAGGTCACATTCTGAGTTCTGTGGACACATCTTTTTTGCAGGGCAGGGATGACAATTGAAGCCATCCTCAGATGGTTTTGAAAAACTGCTTTGGCTTCTTAAATCACATTCTGTGTCAGCATGGTCATTTTCCAGGTCCTGGCAGGTTTTCTTTGGCAACAAATGAGGACTATACTTCACAGGAGACTTGTTAACCTGCTGAAGAAGATAGTAAACTCATTCTTCAAGGACAGGGAAATGTGGGCATAGTTGAAATTGTAGGCGGCAGCCTCCATGATGCAAAAATACACAGTAGAGTAGAAGTCGTACTAGAATGTTTATAGGAAAAATAAGTATTAAAATATTAATAGGAGACTGAAGAAGACTGGTGTCTGATGCTTCATGTCTGTTTCTTACCTTTGTATCTTCTTCTCAACTGACACTCCCCATACATAAAACAAAACGAATCACAAATTTTAATGAAAAATAGTTGACAACAAAGTAAGAACTAGAGTTTTGGGGGATGAGCTTCATAACTAGATTATGGCACTGAAGTAGAGGCAAATCTACTCCAAAGAAATACCAAATGAGTGGAAGAGTGATTATATAGAATATACACACCAGCATGTAGACCTGTGAGCCTGAGACAACTCTTGGTGTAGAACATTTTTATCATTGTGCGTGTTTATAAACTATTTGCCTAGGCAGAAGAGAATATCTGTGATGTTTTCATCTTATCACATGGGCACATTTGTAAGCCATAGTCACTACTGTAGAGAATCTATCCTTGCATTCCCTGGAAACACCACTTAGCATATTTGGGTATATTCTGAAATGTTTAAAGAGTGATCCATGTGCATGTTGAAGAATCAAATACTAGTAGATAAAAACATGAACATCAGGGAAGTGGGGATTGTTGGGGCTATTTGGAATCTTTCTGCTGCAGCCCTTCCATTGGTGAATACTTTTAAAACATTCTAGTTTACAAGTGATTTAAATTAATTTTCTTAAGCTACCCTCAGTGACAGGCTTGTGCTGAATATTTCCTTACTGGAGGTGGTATTTACGTGTCGATGATCATAGAACCATAATCATTATACATGGAACTTCTTTATGTTAAGAGTATTTCCTGGCTTTATCTGTTCACTTAATAAAAGGTTATTGACAAGATTTTTCTCTTCTTGTCTAGAACTGATGTTTACCTCAGTAGTCACTTAGGCCTCTGATTTTTGGCCTACATGTGATTCTGGATGCCACAATATCAAATAATATGGGTAAAAGTAAATGTGTTTTGAATGAAAAGCACTTTAATGGTTGAAAGATGGTGTTATGACTTATTAATGTGATTTGAGAATCTGTTATTTAGAATACTAGCTTTCCAAGTTGTTATTTATATAAGATACATTATTTGAACTACAACCTTGAATCTTAGTTGGTTATTATTATTAGTATAGATGATTATTCTGGGAAGGAGATTTAAAAATTCCAAATATTTTGAGAACCTTAGGAGTTGCTACAGAAAACAATAATTTTCATTGGAGAAAATATTCTTAAATTTTAAAAGCAGAAGAATGGATACCCAAGCACAGAAATGGGCTTTATTTGTATCACAGGATTGGAGTTTTAAAGAGATTCTGACATTGTGTGAAATTAAAAAATGCAGTTGAAAGATATAATTAATGTCCAATGGACCCTTTTTTTATGTATGTTGTACTTTCTATGTTGGTATAGTTGGAGGAATTATTGAGTAAAGGTAGGGAGGGGACAGAAAAAGATTTTAGGCTTTTCATTGGATTTTCTTTCTTTCTTTCTTTCTTTCTTTTTTTTTTTTTTAAGAAAGCATGACTAGAAGTTAATACTTTGAGCTCTAGATTAGAATTTTGGAGGTGACTGTTTTATTTACTAGAAATTTGTAGTTAGTGACCTCTTGCCTATTGTTCATCCTGTTTCCTGTTCAACAAGGCCCGAGAGGTTCAATTGAGAGTTTTCCTCTTACAGTCAGCTGCCAAGTCATTTAATTGTTCCCTCACTTTGCCTTGGTTTTAAGAGGGACAAGATGTAGTACTTTTTTATTTTATTTTTATTTTTTTAAAGATTTATGTACTTGAGAGAGTTAAACAGAGAGAGAAGGAGAGGCAGAGAGAGAGAGAAAGAGAGAGAGGTCTTCCACTGGCTGGTTCACTCCCCAGATGGCTGCAACAGCCAGACTTGCCTGGATCTGAAGGCAGCAGACAGGAGCTTCCTCCAGGTCTCCCACGCTAGTACAGGGGCCCAAGGTCTTGGGCCGTCTTCTACTGCTTTCCCAGGCCTTAGCGGAGAGCTGGATTGGAAGTGGAGCAGCCGGGATTCAAATTAGTGCCCATATGGTATGCGGGCACTGCAGGCCACGGCCTTACCTGTTACGTCACAGTGCCGGCCCCAGGATGTAGTACTAAGTCCAGACATTGCTGGGATCACCTGTAGATCTTTGAAAATACTGGTTTCTCACTCTGAGCCCCAGATACTTTGCTTTGATTGCAATGGGATTGTACCTGGACATTGGGATTTCAGAGCTCTCCCCAGGTGATTCTGTGGTGCAGTAGAGTTTGGGAATATTCTAGCTAGAGATTGAGGCCCTGGAATAGTTAATGCTACTAAGATAGGATAAGAACTTTCTAGAGTTGGGGTTTGTAGCTCCTGGGATTTTCACTTGAAAATGCAGCTTTCCCAAGTTTAGAAAAGATCTTATATGGATACAGAAACTGGTCTGCAGAATTAGTTTTCACAAATAAGTGGAAATTTGGTTTTATGAATCCTGTTGAAGCTATTGACTAGTTAAATTTAGACCTTTTTAAATTCAGTGCGTAAAACAAAATGACACAAAGAAAATATCCAAAAATCTGAATGGTCAGATTAATTTAATAACTTAAGAGAAAACAAAATTTTCCCACACATTAATTCAGTGCTAACTAAAAGAAAGAAGTTAAAACCTATTTAAAATGTGGAAAAATTGCTTCCCAATATTTTAACAGAGAGAGACTGAGAACACACAGCATTGAGTCATCAGGAAAACTGAAGATCTCCCCTGAACAACACTGGGATTTCACTGCTGAGGACTTGAAAGACCTTGGAGAAATTGGACGAGGAGCTTATGGTTCTGTCAACAAAATGGTCCACAAACCAAGTGGGCAAATAATGGCAGTTAAAGTAGGTGATGCCATGATTATTTTTGGTACTTTAATCTATTAGGTGAAATTTTGTGGTGCAGTAATACTACTGATGTTTGTTTGTACTTTTGTGGTAAATACGGGTTTAAAGAATTGGTTCTCTAAGGGTGTTTTGTGGAGAGATTGTCTTTGGTGGCACGTGTTCTCTCTCTCTGGAAACAGTGTACGAAGTGTGCATGTTCACTGCACTTCTGGCATGATGCATTAACATGTTTTAAACTTCAGGCCCTTCCACTACCAAGGTGAGTTCAGGCTGGGCGGCTGCACCCCTGGGAGCAGGGCAGTGCTGCCCTGAGCCAGGCGGGAGCTGGAAGAAGAGGCAGCACACTGGGTTGGGCAAGGTGCGGGGCTAGGGCTAACAGCAGTCTTACTGAAGGTTTCCTGGAAACCACACACATGCTGTTGCCACTAACCTCAACCTTACTCGGTCCTGACCGGCTCGGCTTCTGTTTGTTTATTTCATCTCTACGCAGTACTGCCCTGTTCCCTGGCATTAAAGTTGTACTGAAATGCATACCTTGTGATAATGCTGTCACATTTTGTCCTTATTGTGAGTGTAATGCTACTAAATGTTAGTTCATTTAAAAAAAAAAATCAGAAATGGAGATTTGACCAGTAGACTGTACCTGGCAGGCTTATGTTGGTTCCTATAATGAACTGGTGATTTCCTTCCAACTCCTAATGGGTCTGAGTAATTGTAATTTATACATTTTTTGTCTAAATGTTTAACAAATGCTTGCCCTATGTAAGATATTTCAGGAAGATCAACAATGGGGGAAGGCAATTTAAAAAGAAAAGGGAAAAATTTAGATATGTTCATGCCGCATCCCACTGAACTTAAAATTTCTATGCAAACAAAAATGTCTTAGTTTGCCAGAGTTGAAAGTGAGTTTTGCAGACAGTCTAAGCTAGGGGTGGGGAACCTTTTTTCTGCCAAGGACCATTTATAGCATCATTTGTGGACCATACACAATTATTAACTTAGAAATTAGCCTGCTATAGATTTATTGAATTTTGAATTCTGCCTGTAGTGGCCTTGGCAGGACCATACTAAATGATTTTGCTGGCCTTATGTGGCCTGAGGGCCGGATGTTCCAGCCACCTGTGGCAGCTAATCATATTCCTGTTAATCTCCTGTTTGAGAGTTTGTCAAGGCCTGAAGAGAGAAGGGGGCCTCGGTTTTTTTATTTGACATTTGGGAATCATTTGTATCATATTAATAGAAAATGATTTCTGTAGGTCTGTTGTGAGCAAGATCTTGTAACTATTTTAGTTTCCTTTATTTTGAACATTTCTCTTTGCTGGATTAGATAAAAGTAATGTTAAATTAGAGGTGGGGAAAATTTTTAAGATTCTCTTTGGGTTCTTAACCTTTTTTGGGGCCATTTTCTTATGATGTGAGAAAATAGCCATTCATAGGAAGATATTTTGCATAAATACATCTAAAGATGTGTAGGCACAGACTTCTATAGATTATCTGATGAAATAAAATGTTTTTCTCAGAATGTGCAATGATTTCTGTAGTCCTAGTTTGCGCTGCTACAGTGAGAGTGGAAAGAGTCCTTTTTCCCAGACTTCCCTGGATGAGTCTTGTGTATTCTCTCAGTATGACATCCAGTTTCAGCTGACTGGACCTTAGGGGCAAGTTTTCTTACATAGCCGAAGTTGTAACCTTTTCCCTCAGATTCTAGGGAAGTACTTTTAAAAATGACTTTTTGTTTTCAGTTTGTGCCTTGTGAGCTTCAAACTATGTTGGCCAACATTATAAAATGTTTTAGTAATATGGATAGGCTTATTCATGGTTAACACTTTCAGGGTAAAGAAGGAGCTTGATTTTGACATTTAAAATAGTTTGCCTCAGTGGTTAATTTCATGACATTTGGAGTTGTATGAGTTTTACTCAAAGTTTGAATGAACTTAAGAGTGAAAATAGGAAAAATTTGGTCTCTGTTTGTAATCTGATCCTATCAGTGGCTTCTATGAGAGCCCTGGCTGAATGTTGTTAAAAATCCCACTCTCTTAAGAAGTACTTTCAAGGCAGTTGTGGGACTATAGTCTGACTACCATTGTATCAATTCTATGGTACTATCTACCTCTATTTACTCCCTTGAATTCCTGAACAAGTGTAACGATTTGGGATGAAGAAGGGTGGCAATATGATACAGCAGTAAAGATGTAGGTGAGATTAACCATTGGCTTCCATGGCTTGATTAATACTGGAATAAGTATTTTTGCACTGATATACATTAAAACTTGGTATCAATTGAGGACTGATCTATGCCATTTTCTGTGGATTTTAAAATGTACTGTTGATTTATCCATCACACCTGAGTTTGCTACCTAATCACCTAGACACGCAGATCAGATTGACAATCATAAACATAGAGAAGTAATGTGTGATTAGGGAGGAATTAGATTTGACATTTGACATGTAGAGAAAGTGTGAGACAATGATTTCCTTGGCTGAGAGCTTTCCATTGCCTTTGGTAAAATGAGAAGCACACTTGAAATAGTTCTATAGTTAACAATTTCTTGATCTTTGGCCTAAGGAAAGTTTTCCATACCTAGTGAGGTTCTGAGTTAGGACTTAAGATCTGGACATTTTTAGCCCTTCAGGTTTAATAGTCCATACCTGGGGAAAGAGGGTTTGCTCTTCTGTGAATGGAAGTAACACTACTGCATTGTCTGCCTGTGCTGGCATGAGTCTTAGGGTTGCCCGGGGCAAAACCCTTGCCTCACTGGGGATGTCCTAAAGTTTGGAGAGGACAGCCTTCAGCTTTTGGCCAGGGATTTACTTTTGACTCTGATCAGCATCCTCTGCAAACACATTCATTAAGTGCCCCATCTTACATGACAGAGAAGTAACCACTGAATAACAAAAGTTAGACCTTGATGAGTCCTATCTATAAGAGTAAAGTAGGTGTCTCTGCATAGCCCTCTGGCAGGGTTAATTGTAGTTTGGTAAACTCCAGTGTTGAGACAAAAATATTTGAAGAAGCAGTCAGGATTAGTTTGCTGAGCTAGGGTTAGGGAAATTCAGATGGGGAGAAACACTCAGGAATGTTTGGGCCATAGGTGGTCAAAATCAGGATATCAAAGCAAATTCTAGTGGGCAAGAGATGGATATTAGAAAGAGCAGATAAAATGTCTCAATTCAGACCCATGGGCTCAAGTTGAGTGGAATTACAAGCAGATTGCTCATAGAGGAAAGAATGACTCCAATCTTAATGGTTGTCATCCCCCTGATCCTGCCTGCTGTGTCAATCCTGAAGGCCTACAGGAGCAGTGTCCCTGTTGTTTTTGAGTAAACTCATGTACATATTGGCTTCTTTGTTTGTAAGATTTATTTACTTATTTGAAAGGCAGAGTTGTGGGGCAAGGGGAGAGATCTTTCATCCACTGGTTCACTCCTCAAATAACTGCAAAAGCCAGCACTGGGCCAGTCCAAAGCCAGGAACCTGGAACTCCTTCTGGGTCTCTCATGTGGACAGCAGAGGCCCCAGCTCTTGGGCCATCTTCACTTGCTTTCCCAGGTGTATTAATAGAGAACTGGTTCCGAAGTGGAGCAGCTAGGAAGGACTTGGACCAGTACTCATATAGGATATGGGTGTATCAGGCAGTGGCTTAACCTGCTGTGCCACAATGCTGGCCCCAGATTGATTTCTTGACTATGAGAAAAAACATGGGAGAGTGGAAAAGAAAGAAAGAGAATGAGAGAATACAAGGGAACTTAGTTACCATCCCTAAAGATGGCTGCCAATGGAGTCTGTGTTGTTTTTTGAAGGGTTAGTGCTACAGTAAAAGTGTCCTCTCAATGGAGAACGGAACAAATAGTAGGTAGGTAGGTAGGTGGGGATATTATGTTAAGGCTGTTACTGTTGATCATTATGATTACCTTTTCGTGTTTTGCTTGAGTTATCTGGGATTATCAGAAAAATAGATCAGTTATTTGAGATTAGGTGCTTAGGCCTAAGTGATGTGATCTTGTGTTTTCTTCCTGTTAGTGTTTTGCACACCTTGTGTTGTTCCTTTGACCCTCTACTCTTTCAGTTCTATTGTTTCATTGACATCTCTGTTCCTGATCCTGGCCTGGTAACTTGATCCTGATTCTACATTCCTGCCACTCTTGGTATTTGGATTTTGCTTTCTTTGACCTGGAACTGAGAGCTTGCTTTTGCCAGTGCTTGGTGGGAAGGACCAGACCCATTCATTCTCAGTATCAGCAGCCTACATCTTAGCCCTTCTGTGAGCTGTGTGGAGATTTCATCTGCTGATTAGGTAGGCCTCCTTGGTACAGATGTTCTGGCACGTAGGGGAAGTCAGGGATCAGTAAATATATGCCTTGGTTTTTCTCACCCTCCCCACCCATTCTGCTGTGTCGGAAGTCCCATTGCTGAGTGATTTCAGTGCAAACTGTGGTGGCCCGTAATCTTTGGAGGAGTTTCATTCTCGTGTTTAAACATTAAATAAGTGTGGCTTATTCTGAAAGCACTTGCATGGTATTTGAGAGCAGTAGTCTTAAATTGGAAAAGTTCCTTTTTGATGGTATAGAGTGACTTTTTTGGGCAGTTTTTTTCTAAAGGCCATAGGATAATATTTGATTATCCAAATCACATGGCTATGTTTTGAGACTGGATTCCAGTATCTTATGGTTTTGTTTGATTGACTAGATCATATATGGTAATTATAAGATCCATGATTGAACCATACTATTTTATGCTCCCTAATATTGCTTAAAAGCTATGGTGTTCCGTATGAAAAGCGTAAGTGAGCACTTCCAAGAGTTCCCAGATTCCAAGGATGGAAGGGCTGCCCTCCATCAGCCTTGATTTTGAACTCAGGTCTTTTGTGTAGTTGGAGCTAGAACTCCCAGTACACATGTGTTTATTTTGCTATTGCTCCAAGTTAGGGGTTTCCAGACTGTGGGTTCTATTGCCAGACCTGTATGTAGAGCTTAACTAATAAAAATAGACAAAATCAGTTCTGTTCTGGTTGATGTAAGGAATAGGAAATGGAGGCTATCCAGCCGTATTAGAAGGCTTTGGGTCACCAGCATAGGAAATGTTAGGGGTCCACCTGGATACTATGGAAATGGTTGCTTTTGGTGGATTTAAATCAACCATTGTATATTTGTGAACATTCTGTATAGCTAGTTTTTGAAACTTTCTACCATCTTGTTGTTGATATAACTGAATTGTGATGAACTATATCTGAATTTGTATGGTTATTTGGAGAAGAACCCATCTTACCTTAACCTCATTCTGCATAGGAGCCATCTGAACCAATATTTGAAATATATACCACATATTTTGTATTTTTTTTAAAGATTTATTTATTTGAAAGGCAGAGTTATAGAGAGGGAGAGGCAGAGGCAAAGAGAAAAAGAGATCTTCCATCCACTGATTCACTCCCCAAATGGC